GGAACAGTTAGGAATAAAAGTCAATGGAGAATACCTTAGTAACCTGCGCTTCGCCGATGACATTGCATTGCTGAGTAACTCGGGGGACCAATTGCAACTCATGATTACGGAGTTAGACAAGGAGAGCAGAAAGGCGGGTCTTAAAATTAATCTGCAGAAAACTAAAGTAATGTACAACAACCTCGGCAAGGAGCAGCACTTCGAGATAGGTAATAGTGCACTTGAAGTTGTAAAGGACTATGTCTACTTAGGGCAGGTAATAACCGCAGAGCCGAACCACGAGATTGAAGTAACTAGGAGAATAAGAATGGGGTGGAGCACATTCAGCAAGCATTCTCAAATTATGACTGGTAGATTGCCACTATCCCTCAAGAGGAAGGTATATAACAGCTGTATTTTGCCGGTACTTAGCTACGGAGCCGAAACCTAGCTGGAAACTTACCAAGAGGGTTCAGCTTAAATTGAGGACGACGCAGCGAGCAATGGAAAGAAAAATGGTAGGTGTAACCTTAAGAGACAAGAAGAGAGCAGAGTGGATTAGGGAACAAACGGGGGTTAAGGATATCATAGCTGAAATCAAGAAGAAGAAATGGACATGGGCAGGGCATGTAGCGCGTAGACAGGATAACCGCTGGTCATTAAGGGTAACTGACTGTGACTGGATTCCCAGAGAAGGGAAGCGGGTTAGGGGGAGACAGAAGGTTAGGTGGGCAGATGAGATTAAGAAGTTTGCGGGTATAAATTGGCAGCAGCAAGCACAGGACCGGATTAACTGGCGGAACATGGGAGAGGCCTTTGTCCTGCAGTGGACGTAGTCAGGCTGATGATGATGATGATGATGATGATGATGACATCTGGTTTGGCAGCACTACGCGATCGCCCTACAGTGCGTCATCTCAATTTCTGCTCTAGATTGCGTATGGCCAATATGGTGACCGTCGTGGGCGTGCCAAACGCTTTTGATCGTATCACTCGCAATTGCTTGCTTTTACTTCAGCGTCAATATGCAATTGTTGTCTAGGTAGGAAAAAAAAGATAAATCTAATCAGTTTGTGGTTGTCTTCAACAATCGTCGTGTCTCATTCGCCAGCGCTGCTTTACCTGCGCCCTCTTTTAAGAGAAAAGGCTTCACTTTAACTCAAAGAGAGAGCGCAAATTGTTTCACTTTACCGGCACGAAATCAAACAGCGTGAAATTTCAAGAATTATGAAAAGACCTTTGTCTAATATCAATTGAAATTGCCAGGCATTCCGCTATGATGGACGCCTCTGGAACCTTCCACGGGGACACACGCAGTGGGCCACGAACAATGCGAAGGACCTATACTCATTGTATAAGCTGCAAGAAGTCTGCTGCTTGAGAGCGCAAGCGGCACCATCATGGTTTCACTATCGGCAAGATTTTGGGTGCATGGAACCGCGACTACAAGTTAATGCAACGAGTGTGCTCAATTGATTAAGACACTGATGTGATCCACCGTCTGTGAGGTTAAGCACAGAACGGCCGTTTTGTCGATGGCATGAGTGACATTTCTCTCTCTCCTCTCTCTCACTTTTATTCCCCTTACCTTCTCTTCAGTACAAGGTAGCCTACTGGGCTCAGCCAAGGTTAACATCCCTGCCTTTCTTTCATCCGTATTCTCTCTCTCTCTTTCTCTGCAAAGGAGGGTCTGTTCATCACAGATCATCAGATCAAGGACAGCTAGAACCACTCGGTCATGTCAACCATGAGATGTCGACTGCATGAGAACGGCCTGCAGAGTTGTGTGCGAGCCCAAAAGCCTGCGCTTTCAGAGTCCAATAAGATAGCAAGTCTTGAGTAAAACTTAACCTTCTACCCACTCCCTCTGTTCCCTTGAGCAGAGCTCTCTCAGCTGCTAAGGGAGTAGAAGGTTTGTTGCTTGGTGTCCGTCTTGTCATGTCGTAGCTGCTGCTGCTTGTACAGAATGAAGACCAGCGCCTTTCGATACGCTGCAACAACTCGACTTTATGTACAGGAACTTATGCACATATTTACAAGACTCTTTCACCGTTGGAACCGTCGCATGTTGCCTTGGCAGAGCCGATAGTGCAGAGCACTCTTTGCTGTTACCAGAACGACCGTGAGGACTCAGGAACCAGGTTTAAACCCCTTGGTTGCCCCTCCCGATTCTCCTCACGACTAATGTTGAATTCCAATGGCAGAGTGGGCACAGCCGACCGACTCCGCGAGCGAGCACTCGACTCTGGCGTAGAGAAAATCCTCCAAATCCGCCATCGGAACACAATCCGCCCTGCTGGAGCAAAGCGGAAGCTGCCGCGTTACCCAGGATACCTTGCGCGTGGTCTCTTCCACTGTCTGTTTACCACGTGGCTTACCAGCATCGCCGCATCATTCGTTTGCTTGTTCAGCGTTATTCACCTGTGTGAAATGGATATCACACCAAGCGTGCATAGCTATTGTCCACGATGCCTGCGATGGTGACCACACAGTATGCGGAGCAACATGGTAAGTGTCTCCTCAATTTTAACACTGTGCTGTAATTGTGAGTTGAATGCAACGCACGTGTTGCGTGGAGCGATTGTCTGCACGCGCTATGTTCATGCTGCAACGTTGCTCTACTGCTGATGCGATCGTGTCACTGAAACGCATCGCATGCGTCATACCGTTGTTCGTTTGCCTGTGTCCGTGGAGAACGAAAACCTTCGCTGCATTGATTGCACAAATACCGCTGTAAATATACAGCAAAAAGTAAACGTGCGCGCGACGCCGCTGTTCTTGCACGGAACGGCGTCATTAGTAAGAAGCGACTTCCTATCACTTTAGAATGTAGCCAAACGAATAGAAACAAACCGCGTTGGTGACAAGCGTGTTTGGTATAAGGGAAATTTGACCGATCGTCCAGAGCAATCGCTTTCTGCCCCCTACTCCGCTCCCGCGGCGAGTCTCCCGATTTCAGAAGTCCCTAGGTTGGCAGGTACGCATTTGCGGCGAGATACCTCCAAAGTAACGCTTTTACCGTACAAGCACAACGCAGCGCGAGTGTTTCAGTACTGCACTACTATGTGGCAAGTTCCAGTGCACTCGCCTTTCAGTGGAAGCGGCGCAGAAGCAGTTGTCTGCCTTTATATGTCTCGGAGAAACTATAAGCCAGTGTTACGCATCCAAGAATTTGACTCCCAGGAAATTTTAGCTGCAGAGGTAGCAGCGTGAGTGCATGTTCTGCTATCTAATGGGTTGGCAATGTTACCAAGTTCAGGACATTGAGCACATCCAAATTAGGAATCGGTCTCAGTCCACAGAAATTACGTTGCTTTTCCTGGAGTGTCACTGCCTGTTTCAGGCCTGAAAGATCGTGCTTCATTTTGATGAAGTCAGCTGATCAGAAACTCTGTGCATCATGATGAGAGTTTATAATTCAATCAAGAATGTGCACAGTGTGTTGAGCTACTGTTGAACTTGCATGCCACCATGTATGCTTACGTGAAATTGTTATTCGAAATTTTGTGTTGTGATGAGATAGCATAGCAAATATAGAGTTACTGTTTTGTGAAGCTGTGTTAGGAAGCCTCACATGGCTTAGCTTAATTGCATACATAGTTGCAAGAAATTCACATGGTGCTTCAATGTACAGCAATTTGTGTCACTGAACACAAATCGTTGGTCGTTATGTCACTTCATGTATGCCACCTGTATGAATAACAATGCATTTCGTTTTCAATGCACAGTGCCGGAATGCAGCCAAAAGAGCGAGCAACGCAGTGAGTCCATTTATTCATTTATTTAGAGAATACTGCAGGCCCATTTAGAGGCCCTAGCAGGACAAATGCATTTAAGTAATGAATTATACATGATATATACAGTTAGATCAGTGCAAAGAACACCAAGCACTGTAACGACAAAAATCAAAGTAGAAAAATCGATATCAAGACAAACTAAAACAGGTTGGTGCTTATATATGCCTATAAGCTCTACATTAATACCAACACAGCAGAATACCACAACTCTCTAACACCTGTGTCGGGTGACGTGCAACTGGTAACGTCTGTACAAATGTCTCAAGCACTTTTTCTTTTCAGGTACAGGCTGTGAGTGGACGGCGGGTGAAACAAAGCTGTTGCTCGACTACTACCAGCAGTATTTTTCCCAAATAGGGCCAATGAAAAAATTTAAAAATAAAAAGGCAATATTTGCCAAAATAGCTGCCAACATCACAGAGGCTGTCGGGGTCCCTAAATCAGGGGACCAGTGCTGCAGCCGCTACAAAACAGTCATGCAACAAAAAAGAAGCGCCGCAGCACATAACAACAAATCGGGGAATTCTCCTTGCGACGTTCTCTTTGACGACGACATAGCCAAAATACGTTGGCTAGATGACAGCCTTGAGCCAGAAGAGCTCAGGGACAGCTCTGGAATAGTCTCTATTAAAAGACCGCCCAGCCAAGCGTCGACGAGCCAATCGCCGACAAGCCAAGCATCGAGGAGCCAGGAGCTGACAAGCCAAGGTTCAACTAGCCAGGAGTTGACCAGTACAACGAAGGAACCTGAGTCCAAAAAGCCGAAACTCTCAGCTTCTAGAATGCTGGAAATAAATCACTTCTTTGATGAATTGAGCAAAATTCAGGAAGAAAAAAAAACGAACTGAACGTGAGAATGAAAGAAGGAAGCGTCATGAAGAGAGGCAAGAACAGAAGGAGCGCATTCGGCAAGAAAAAGCAAAGCAGCATGAAGAAAAAATGAAGCTTTTGAGCCGATTTTTTGGCTTAGACAATGAATGATTTCAGTGGCCTAAAATACTATTACCATGTTGAAATAAAATGTGCAGTGAAAAACATGTGCTTGTGTATATAAAGGGGGCTGCGCATTAGTGCACACACACACAGCCTCCCAACTACTGTGGGGAACTAAAGGGCCAGTTCAGACAAAACAGAGAATTATGGTGTTATTTCCCACAATCACTTCGCAGGAGCTTAGTCAAAACCTTCGCACGCTTAATTTCGCCAAACTTGTGCAAAGCTCACTCCTCATCAGTTTTATCACTGTGGTTATCAGTGCAGTTCTCCCACTGAATAGCATTGGGTGCTCCATCGTCATTATTATCATCATCTGGCTCTTCATCACCGTAATCGATGCACAAGTTATGAAGGATACAGCAGCTTATGATAAACTCATTGAGCCAGTGGATAGTGTGCAACTCCAGGTACATGAGCTGCCTGAAGCGCTTCTTGAGTGTGCGGAATGCATTTTCAATGAGCACTCGTGTGCCTGAAAACTTAAAATTGAAGCCTTTTTGTTGCTTATTCATTGCACCGTAATCCCTGTATGGTGTCGACAGGTACTCCCGCAGCGGATATGCTGCATCCCCTAATATATGATAACGGCCCTGACATACTGAAGCTATGTTCTTTGAAAGAGGCGATAAGCTAAACACACGAGAATCGTGCATTTTGCTGGAGGTTCCAGTGAACGCATCGAGGAAGCGCCTTTTGTGGTCACAGATGACTAGCAGCGTTAGTGAAAGGTAATGGTGCCTGTTGCAGTATGTGGAGGCAACCTTGTAGGCTGGGCACTGTATCTTGACATACGATTCATCTATACAGCCAATAACAGCAGGCATTCCAGACACCTGCAAGCAAGTTGTACTCTTCTAATGAGTGATATCATCCATGCCTGAGCAAGAAATGAGCGTTTGCGAGGACTTTTAACAGGAAATACTGGTGCTCAAGCCCATTAACTCACAATCACAGCATACGCTTCATGACTCAGCACAATATATTTCATGCTTAAGACGCAAAATGCACACCAAATTCAACTTTGAGAACTAGTTAAGATAACATACATTGCTGTCCACACCATATACTACACGTTTTCTTGCTATCCGTTTCTCTTTTTACAACGGTAAAATGGGAGAGAAAACAAAACAAAGCCTGCATATGTTTTTTCAAAGGGAGTTGAAGTACGTAATTGCAATTTAATTCTTAAACTTAAAACCAAACGTCGTCCATATTGTATCGTACATCAAAACAGCAATAACAAAGCATGCAGCATCATCCGCATGCAAGGAATCGACTGTGACTGCAGGAGAGACATAATTGAATGTTTCGAGCACAACTGGATGAAGCTCGGTATTATCATCACGACCTATCACATTTTTCTTAAAGTCCCACCTCAGCGTAAAATTCAGCTTGAAATAACCCACAATAAAATGTGCACTCGTGTTTGTGATATGATCAATATAGCTTGGCCGGCCAATGTTATTGGTCCTCACAATAAATAAAATCAAAACAAACCTTCTCGAAACTGCTAGTGAGCTTCTCCAAGTCTGCGGGAAACTTGATCACCGATGGTCCCAGCGTCATCAGGAACTGCGCTACTCTTGAAGAACTCTGTACACGGTGCTTTCTGACATGTCGAAACGGCTTGCCAAGTCTCGCATGCAGGTTTTGTTGGCCGCATACCTGCGCAGGGGGATTACAGGTACCCGAAAGAAAAAAAAACAGCCTCAGATCACACTGCACTGTAAGCAACGGGCTCATAGTCAAATGCGTTCTTGTGCAGGCATCGTACAAAAAAAAGGGGGTGAAGGTGGGGAGGTGTAACTAACCAGATAAATGTCAAGACATGCGTTTCCGCGGATTTCGCTTGAACTCCTCCGTGTGTGCTCGAAGGGCACAATGACGAGACAGCAAATTCCGCGACCAACTTTTCGGCCACTGGCCGAGCCAGCCTAAAGTGCCTCCGGAACTGCTCAAGAAAAGAAACAAACGAAAACACCACAACGTGTTAAACCATGAGCATAATGCTTTCCTTCTTTTTTTCTATTTCTTTACCTCGTGGTCCGAGTACTGCCGAACGACGTCCTCGATGAAACCGACGACTTTGGGCCTCTTCGCGGGAATGCGGAACAACTTGTTGAATTCCCGCTCGTAAGCGCACGCTTTAGCGTCGCTGTCACTGTCCGACGAATCACTCGTGTCGGTACTGGAGCTTTCCGACTCAGAGCTGTCGCTATTGAGTAGCAGAAGCATTGCCGCACGCTTTGCCGAGGTAGCCGAGCCGTCCATGCCGTCCGCCATTATCAACACAACTCGCGCCTGGCCAGCCGCGCCCCCAAGCAGGCAAACGTGTTAAAGGAAATGCGTCACGCTGAGTTCCGGTCCACTCCACCGATTTCGGCGGAGCAGTTTTTCCTGCTCCACGGAGGGACTCCCGCTCTGAATCCCCTCCAGCTCTCTCATTGGAACTTTTGACTCTCGCTCTCACTCTGTCATTGGAACACACTTGCTCTGAAAGGAGCAGAAAAACTTGTTCTGACTCCACCATTGGAATTCAACATAAGTTATGTTCTTCAAGAACTTCTAGTGTCCACACCAAAGTCGCAGTTGGATGGCTGCCGAACTGCACCCTGTGCTAACTAAAATTCTCGCGCACTCGGTCACGGTCTTGTTTTCCGGCATCGGTTGACCGACCTGAACCCGGGCAACTAAACCCCGGCACACGCTGCTGCCGGGTGCGGTTCATGCTTAGTATCGCTAAATTCCACGCCTTTTTCGAAGGATACGTCAACTGACCCAACTTTTGGGCAACAAAGGCGGAATTCTTTCACGTCCCCCACCTCTCGAGGCTCCACCGGCCTCTGTGCCACCCACAAACACTCGCGTTGTCGCGCAACAATGCCTTCCGCTCCCACCCCATGGTCGGCTATCGGCAGTTTTTCCTCGGTATGCTCCTTTTCGTGGAACTCCTCGGGTGAGCTTGTATCTTTCCCGCCAGCTGCTTGCGATCCATCGGGTGACGCGTGGCTGCCCTGGGGTGTCTTCCTTCCCACTCCCTGGGACAACATGGGTGATGATCCTTTATATTCACGGTTCTCCCCTTACTTTCAGGTATCTCGGATTCTAACTACTGCACTTTGTCCGAGTTCAAAGGGCCACTATTCGGTGTCAGCTGTGTGCCGCCTGTCTCCTCCGCGCCTTTCGACATGCTCTCGGAAGTGCATTTATATTTAAGGGATTTCCACGCTTTTTCTGGGAGCAGGCAATCCGCTCGCGCTGTCAGCCGGTCCCTTAGGGCCATTCCACGCGGTTACCGCACTGCCACAATGCACGTGCCCGGACCCCTACGGCACCCAAGTGGGGGACAAATAAGACATTTGGTGACGCTGCCGACGGTGAAAGAGCGTCGCCAACTGGCTTATTTGTCCTCCCTTCGTGTTGGGCTGGAGTCCAGGCACGTGCGTTGTGGCTGTGCCGGTAGCGCGTGTAAATGCACTTAACGCCCAAAGCATGGGAACCGTCCCCTTTAGGTCAGCACTAACGCCGCTTTGGATAGACATCGTCAACGGGACTACCACGAGCTTTGCCTTCACTGTACCACCGAACGCAGATGTTAATTATTAGTGCCTTGCGGCTTCACAATCTCCATTGTGATCGCGCTCTCCCACAACACCGTGATTGCTCCATGCTACATTGGGTTCAGTCGCGTGGACGAAAATGGGACTCTCTCCGCTACCAATGGGAAAAACAAGCGTCCTCAAAACTCCTCTGGTACCTCGTACGCTTCTAGGGCACTCTCCACGGACTCAAACCACACTGGTGCTTCAGCCCTCTGTTGAAGTCTGAGTAACACCTCCGTGAAGACTTTCGAGTAGCGTCTCAGTTCGCTACAAAGATCCCGCCTGCCGAACTCAGGTCCACTTCATCGAGAGCGTCCACCCATCATCTGCAGCAGTCTCTCCATCTTCATTCGCAATTCCTGCAGTCTACGCTCCGGCGTGAGATTTCCGAAACGGTCATTTCCCTGGCTCTCCGGCGCACTACCGTCTTCCGAGTTTGCCACGTCGCTCTCGTCTCCCGCCTCACGACTCATGGCCTGCGCTCACCTGTCCGGGTATAAGTGGGCAAACCTCGTGTTCATAGGACACCTTAAAACTGGATCCTGTCTCGATCCTGCTAGACTGTGCCAGTAAAACTCAACCTTCTACCCACTCCCTCTGTTTCCTTGAGCAGAGCTCTCTCAGCTACGTAGCGGCTGTTCCTATAAAAGGGAGTGGAAGGTTGGTTGCTTGGTGTCCGTCTTGTCTTGTCGTAGCTGCTGCTGCTTGTAAAGGATGGAGACCAGCGCCTTTCGATACGTTACAACAACTCGACTTTATGTACAGGAACTTATGTACATATTTACAAGAACCTTTCACCGTTGGAACCGTCGCATGTTGCTTCGGCAGATCCGATAGCGCAGAACACTCTTTTCTGCGACCAGAACGACCATGAGGATTCGGGAGCCAGTTTTTAACCCCTCGGTTGCCCCTCCAGATTCTCCTCACGGCCCACCAACACTCTAAGGCAGAAGGGTGTTAAAAGTGTGTGTGGTTCGTCCTTTTGGGAACTAATGGGGCTGCCATAACCATTAATCTCTTTAAGAACTAACGGCACTGGGTCTAACAGTCAGTCCTCACAGACGACCTCAAGGGACTAACAGTTACTCCTCACATTTACACCTTAGTGAGTAACCGTTAGTCCTACAATTCACCTCAAAGGACTAACATTTAGTCCTCACATTCGCACTTTATAGAGCAACTGTTAATACGCACATTTACACCTTACCAGGCAACCGTTAGTCCTCGCAGTTGCACCTTGTCGGACGAACGTTTGATCCACTCAATTACTCCAATAGGATGGACTTTTCTCCCCAGTTCAAACATTGTTTTTGTTTATTTTCCGCCAGGCCTAATACTTTTTTCGCCTGTTTTTCTGCGCAGTGAGCAACAAATTGAGCAGAAAAGAACACGCGAAAAAGTAGTTAGACACCTATGTGCAACTGCTTTCGCAGTCAAGGCAACAACGAAAGACAAAAGTGAGACATCGAAATCTTTATTTTTCTACATAGACATGAACTTTCTCCATTATTTTCATTGAATTCATGGTGATGTGCACACGTCCAGTCACATTGTCAAATCTTGTTCACTCTTCGGGGAGCTCCTCCGACGGAAGCAATAGATGACGATCATTGCAGACGCCAGCGCACGCAGCCTTCTGCCTGTTGTGTTGCCACGGACTGCACGTACAATAATATAGTAAAAATAGTTAGACACACGTGACAGAAGTTGAAGATGCACGCATATGACAAGTACATGCGCGCTAATATAAAACCAAGCGTTAAATTATGACACAAAAATAATTTTGCCTTCTCATCACAGAAGGATGTCCTTCTCATGAAAGTGCATATCACACACACGTGAGGTACTGGGCAGTTTCTTATCCGCACGAGGAATAGCGTGGTGCCTTACCTCTCGCTGCTCAAGAACATGTGGCCACAAAAGAAATGTCGTGGTGTCTCTCAATTCCTGTAGCTACTCTACAGCCGCGAACGCAACATCTGGACATCATGAAAACACGCAACACATACAAAGCAGAACAGGCAGCACTCAGGCACAAAACTGTTCACGCAGAAAGAAGCCTCCACAGATATCGACGCACTGCAACATGCACAGGCGATAGAAGTTACGGGAGGGACACGAGCGAGCATGCAGTGAGTGAATCCGGATACGACAGCAGTGCCACATTGGTCGCTGGCCGGGGCGGCGCCGTGCAACATCGCTGAGTTTTGCAACTTACCTAGTTCTAGAAACGTTGGTCCAGCGTGACAGCCATCCCGCGGACTCTAATCCTGAAGGATGGTTGTCTATACACTGTCGTTACGTCGCCGGCCGGCATCCCACTGGCCGAGGACTCCTTAGCTGGTGTTTAAAAAGCGGCGACCGGCCGTGGTCTTGCGAGAACGGGCGCGCTTACGCGAGATTATATTCTCCCGAGAATCGGCTCTTTGGGAAGCACGCCCTTTTGCGACAAAGAAGACTCACTCCTCTGGCCGGCGAAGCCAGACCGTACAACTTGCGTATGCCCAAAAACAGGCAGCATGGACTGCATGGAAGACTGGTGGTGTGTAATATTCACCGAAGGGTCAACGTTTACCACTCGCTGGGACCAGCGTCAGAGAATTTGGAGAACTGACAGCACCAGGTCTGATATCCTTTCAATTTAGTACGTCGGCTGACTCGTTTCTTGAGTGACTGCTATAATTCAATACGTATACTTTGTTGTTATGGCGACTCCACAATGAGCCTGCGCTTCGGGAAAACCATTATGATTTTGTATATTTTGCTGCACTGCTATTCAGAAAGCTATTTTCGCAATCTTTGATGACGAGAAAAATGGCAGAAAGGCTTCAAATAACGGTTTACATTCCTTCTACAGATCTAATTCCGGAACCTACAGCGCGTAGCAAGCAGCGGCCGCTGCTCCATCAGCGTTTGGGGTGCGTTCTCTAAGGAAGGCTTTGGACCACTAGTTCGCATAGAGGGCATGTTCAACACTGTGGTACACTGCGATTTGATCGAAAGATTCGTGGTGGCCTACGCTCTCGACGGACCGTTCCCTGATGGGTTGTACCTCTTCCATCAGGACCATAGCCCCATCCGCATGGCGAAATCAACAGAACGCTTGCTGGAACAGCTGGGAGTGATGCTGTTGCAGTGGGAGTGAGAATGAGTGGGGCGCAATGAAGAATGCACTTTCGAGGCAGCCAATTCAGCGCAGCTCTCAAGACGCGCTGTGGGCTGTCATAAAAGAGGAATGGGCAGTGCCTCGCGCAAATGCTCTTGTGACAGGGCTCTTCGACAGTCTTCGCCGAAGAATGGGCGCCGTTGTGGCAGCTGGAGGCGAAATCACTTAAGTATTAAACTTGAGGGACAAAGAATGTTTCTCGCGGAAACGTTCGCACCTTCTCCTCGGTGAAGTTTCGCTGAGGAGCATTCATGAACACGATGCTTGTTTTGCGAATTTCTTTATCATCTGCAATAGAATCATTTTGCAGGTTGACCAGCTCTGTTTTTGTTCGTTTCTTTATTGTGATAATGCGTTTCAGCTTATGTGTACCTTCGTTTCCAAATGTAATTATATTTAAATGGCTTCGCTATCGCCACTTGAGGCATCAGTTAATTTTAATGGCGATGATAATTGTTATTCAAATT